AGCCCCCAACTATTATTTTTGAACTGTCTCTTTTTTTTTAATTCTGTCAGTTTTGCTACGTGCATTTTGGGTTTTGGTTGTAAGATGCATATGTATTTATAATTATCATGCTTTGCTGATGGATTAACCATTTTATTATCATGTCTTTCTTTGTCTCTGCTAACAGCTTTTGTCTTAAAGTATATTTCATTTGATATTAGTATAGCCAGTAACTCTAGCTCTCTTTTGGTTCTTGTGTGCATAGTATTGTATTGTTTCCCACCCTCTTACTTTCAACCTTTTTGTGTCTTCGGTCTAAAGTGTGATCTCATATAGTTGGGTCATGTTTTTTCTTTTTTAATCCATTCTGCCAATCTCCACCTTTCAACTGGAATATGAAATAGTTCCCTATGGCTTCTATAACAAATGACCACAAATCGGTGGCTTAAAGCCACAGAAATATATTCTATCACTGCTCTGGAGGCCAGAAATCAGAAATCTAGGAGGGTCATGTTCCCTCTAGCTCTAGGGGAAAATCTGTTCTTTGCCTCTTCCAACTGGTGACTATCAGCATTCCTTCACTTGTGGCCATGTTATTGCAATCTTTAATTCACCTTATTTTGGAGTTTGCCATTGCTTCCTTCTCCTCTGCCCTTCTTCCTCTTCTGTTTCTTTTAGGCATACTTATCATTGGAGTTAGGGCTTACTTGGGTAATCCAGGATAATCTTGCCTCGAGATCCTTAATTATATTTGCAGATACCTTTTTTTCCCCCAAATAAGATAACATCCAGATTCTGATAATTAGGGCCTAGACATAACTTCTTGGGGGGCCACTGTTAAACCTACTGCAGTTTGTACTCTGGCTTCCCAATATTCATGTAACATCTCACATGCAAAATACATAGAGCTCCTTCCAACATCCCTCAAAGCCTCAACTCATAGCATCAGTCGCATCTAAATGTCATCCACTCAAAGTTACAAGTCTCATCTTCTAAATTATCTTAACCAGGTCTGGGTGAGACTCTGGGTATGAACCATTCTAGGGAAAAATTCTCTTGTTATTTCCTTTACTATATTTTTTGATTTGTTTTCTTAGTGATTGCCCTGGGAATTAAAATTAATATCTTAACCAGAAATAGTGTAGTTTGCATTAATGCCAACTTAATTTCAATAGTACACAAAACTTTGATCTAATATAACTTCATTTTCTCCCCACTTATTTGTGTGATTATTATCAGATTACATGTTTATATACTATAATCACCTAAATACAGTTTTATAATAATTGCTTTATACAGTTGTCCTGTAAATCAGATAGAAGAAAAACATTATAAAAATATATTTGTACTGTCCTATATTTACCTATGTAATTACCGTTACCAGTGTCCTTTGTTTCTTTGTGTGAATTCAAGTTGTACTCCTGTGTCCTTTCCTTTAGCTTGAAGGAATCTCTTAGTGTTTCTTGAAGACTGGGCCTCATAGTGATTAATTCTCTCAATTTTGCTTATTTGAAAATACCTTAATTTCTCCTTTATTTTTGAAGGATACTTTTTCTGCATATAGAATACTTGGCTGACTATCTTTTTCTTTCAGGGTGTTGATTTTGTCAACCCACTCTCTTGAGGCCTCTAGTTTCTGTTGAGAAATCGGCTGTTAATTTTATTGATAATTCCTTGTATACCATGGGTCATTTTTCTCTCGCTGCTTTCAAATTTTTTTTTCTTTGTCTTTGTCTTTAAGAGTTTAATTATGCTTTGTTTAGGTGTGGATATCCTGGAATTTATTCCACTTGGAGTTTACTGAGCTTCTTGGGTTATAGATTAATGTTTTCAGCCATTATTTCTTCCCATACTGTTTCTGCCCCCTTCTCTTTTTCTGTTCCATCTGAGACTTCTTTTAGGCATGTCGGTATGCTTGATGGCTTCCCAGAGATCTCTGAGGCTCTATTTATTTTTCTTCATTATTCTTTCTGTTTCTCAGACTGGATTGCCTCAACTGACATATCTTAAAGTTTGCTGATTCTGTCTTCTGCCAGAATAAATCTGTTGTTGAGTTCCTCTGAAACATTTTTTATTTCAGTTATTGTACTTTTCAACTCCAGAATTTCTGTGTTACTTTTATAATTTCTAATTCTCTATTGATATTTTCTATTCTGTGAGATATTGTTGTCATTATATGAGAATTGTTGTCATTCTTTCCTTTAATTTTTGAATATATAGATCTTATTTTTTAGACCAGTTTTAGGTTCATAACAAAATTTAACAGAATGTACAGACAGTTCCCATATACAAACCTCCCCACACACAGCCTCTTCTACTATCAACATCTCACATCAGAGTAGTTACATTTTTTATAACTAATGAACCAGCACTAACACATAATTATCACTCATAGTTTGGATTCACTCACAGTGTTGTACATTACACAGGTTTTGACAAATGTATGACATGTACCCACTATTACAGTATCATGCAGAATAATTTCACTGCCATAAAAATCCTCTCTGCTCTGATTTATTCCTCTCACCTGCTAGGAAAGTGGAAACCACTGATTCTTTCTATATCTCCATAGGTTTGTCATTTCCAGAATGCCATAAAGTTGGAATCAAACAGATATAATTGTTTTCAGATTAGCTTCTTTCACTTAGTTATATGCAATTAATGTTTTGATATGCTTTGACTGTGTCCTCTCCCAAATCTCATCTTGAACTGTAGTTCTCATAATCCCCACGTGTTGTCAGTATTTCACTTAATTATATGCAATTAAGGTTCTGATATGGTTTGGCTGTGTCCTCACCCAAATCTCATCTTGAGCTGTAGCTCCCATAATCCCTATGTGTTGTGAGTATTTCACTTAGTTATATGCAATTAAGATTCTGATATGATTTGGCTGTGTCCTCACCCAAATCTCAACTTGATCTGTAATGCCCATAATCCCCAGGTGTTGTGGGAGGGACCTAGTTGGAGGTAATTGAATAATGGAGGCAGTTACCGCCATGCTGTTTTTGTGATAGTGAGTTCTCTTGAGATCTGATGGTATTATAAGGACTTTTCCCTCACTTCACTCTGTACTTTGTTGCTGCCACATGAAGAAAGACATGTTTGCTTCCCCTTCCACCATGATTATAAGTTTCTTGAGGCCTCCCCAGCCCTGCAGAACTGTGAGTCAATTAAGCCTCTTTTTTTTAGAAAATAAACTACCCTTGGATATGTCTTTATTAGCAGTGTGAGAATGGACTAATACAGGTTCCTTCATGTCTCATCATGGCTTGACAGCTAACTTCTCTTTAATGCTGTATGATATTTTGTTTATATATATTGTAGTTTATTTAACCATCCACCTACTGAAGGATATCTTGGTTGCTTCTGAGTTTTGGCAATTATGAATAAAGCTGCCATAAACATCTGGGTTCAGGTTTTTACATAGATATAAGTTTTCAACTAATTTGGATAAATATCAAGGAGTGTGATGGCTAGATTGTACAGTAAGAATCTGTTTAGATTGTAAGAACTGCCAAATTCTTCCAAAATGGTTGTACCATTTACATTTCTGTCAGCAATGAATGAGGATTTCTGTTGCTCCACATCCTTGTTAGCACTTAGTGTTGTCAATGTTTTGGATTTCACCATTTAATGATGTGTAATGGTATCTCAGTGCAGCTTGGATTTGTAATTCCCTGATGAGGTATGATGTCAAGTCTCTTTGCATATGGTTATTTGACATCAATATATCTTCTTTGGAGAGATATCTGTTCAGTTATGTGGATGTTTTTCAGTCTAGTTGTTCATTTTGTTGTTGAGTTTTAAAAGTACTTTTGTATATTTAGCACAATAGTCCTTTATCAGATATGTCTTTTGCAAATATTTTATCTCAGTTTATGGCTTGTCTTCTCACTTTCTGGCTTTAATTATTTTTTAAAATAAATTTTATTGTGCATATTTAAGGTACACAACATGATGCTATAAGATATACATAGTAAATGGTTACTATAGTGGGACAGATTAACACATGTGCCATTTCATATTGTTACCAATTCTTCCCCCCATGGTAAAAGCAGCTTAATCTTAAATATAATACACTACTATTAATTATAGTCCTTATGTTGTACATTAGATGCTTTCAGTTTATCCTACATATTGCTACTTTGTTTACTGTAATTGTTTAAACACTGGTTTTCTTTAGTCCTTTTAACATATTCATAGTAGAAAGATTTTTATAAGTTTGAAAAAAATTATTAATTTCAAATTAAAAATTTGTGACCAAATTAAGTGAAAGTAGAAATACATCTAGACATATTCTGACAACATTTTGAATTTGTATGACTAAAAAAACCTCCTTCAAGTTTCCAGACAGAAAAAATAATTGGTCCCGTATTCTAAGGGGCTCATAGAAAGTAATCCTCAATATTCCCTGCAACGCAGAATGCTGGAAGATAATAAAGCATCTAACCAAAGAGATTTGGGGCAAAAGTCTATGCTTCAAGTATTCTATTCCTAGTGAATGTGTTATTCATATGTATAGACAATAGAAAGACATTCTCAAATATGCAAAGGTTTGGGTGATTTACTATTTACCCATCCTTGAAAAATGTACTTGTGCTTCTTGCTGCTCAAACATAATGCATCAGCATCACCTGGGAGCTTGTTAGCAATACAGAATCTCAAGCCCCACCCCAAGATCTCCAGGTAATCAATATGCACATTAAAGTTTGGGAAGCACAGTCCTAGCTGATTAAACATAAAAAGAAAAAAGTAAAACGTGGAGAAGTCTGACTATAAAAAAAAAGTATCCATTGATGCCAATTAAACATATAAAGATGTCCAAATAATCTTAGTGCTTTAAAAACCATCACTGAAAAATGATATATAATAATGTAATAAAACAAAACTTTGTATTTAAACCTGCATTAGGCCTTTTTTGTGTGTGTTGCTATAAAGAAATACGTGAAGCTGGGTAATTTATAAAGAAAAGAAGTTTAATTGACTTACAGTTCTGCAGTCCGTACAGGAAGTGTGGTGCTGTCATCTGCTCAGCTTCTGGTGAGGGCCTCAGGAAGCTTCTAGTCATGGCAGAAGGCAAAGAAGGAGCCAGAATGTCACATGGCAAGTGCAGGAGCAACAGAGCAAGGCGGCAGATGCCATACACTTTTAAACAATTAGATCTCACACGAACTGAGAACTCACTTATCAAGGGGATGGTGCTAAACCATTCTTGAGGCACCCCCCACCATGATCAAATCACCTCCCACCAGGCCTTACCTCCAGCATTGAAAATCACATTTCAACATGAGATTTGAAGGAGTCAAATATCCAAACAATATAAAAGTCCTTAGGTTTTATTGGCTAGGGATTTCTATATAGTTTGAATGCTTGTCTTCTCTACCTCACTAGGGAGATGAGTATGATGTGGAAAATAAAGATGGCACTAAATTGCTTGCCTTTATAAGGGTGATGTCATTTCACAAAGGAAGTGGTGTGCAGTGCCTAAGACAAGATAATACATGAACCTATTAGCTATGGAAATTAAAACAAATAAATGAAGCTAGTATTTAAAAAAAAAACTTTAAGATAGGATTGAAGAAGGGTAAGCAATGATTTACTATTAGTACTTTGTGTTTCTATTGGCAATGTCTGTTCTCTCTGGGAAAGGTCATACCTTGACTCCTTTTTTTTTTTTAATGCAACAAAATGGGAATTACAAAGAAAATGAAACATAGAGAATGGTCAATGAATTGTGTCAGTTTCTTCCCTATAGATTGCAAGGCCAAGTATTAGAGGATGACTTCCTGTTCTTCCCACCCGTTCCTGAAGATAGATTCTACACAGGTTCAAACAGTCTGTGGGCAGTGGCTGGCGGGGTCAACGGCAAAGGGGTTTTTCATGCAGGCAGCAGCCAGCTGCCACCAACTGCAGGGATAACCAGTGAATGATCTACTCTGGGAGTTGGGACAGGAACAAGTGGAAAATAGAACATGGCCGATTTTTAAAATTACTTTCTTCAGAGTAGGTAGTATGAGCCCATGTTTGTAAATTCTATTTGCCTTATTTTAGGTACAAAGAAACAAGTTTCATCTAATCTCATTTTATTTTATTTAAAAATCAATGTTATAAACATTTTACTTTTGTGGGAAAGTATAGAGGTCAACATTGTGGGCATCTACATATCTACCAATCAGATTTGTTAAACTTTAAGATTTTACATGTTCACTTCAGATATATTTTTTTAAAAACCTCAAATCATTACGGTAAGAGTTTAGGACTGCTGTGTTAAATAAAGTTTATGAGAGGCTATTGTTTTGGACTAGCCTCCTGTACTAGGCCCCAGCAGACTATGCCAAACCATAGTAGAGTGACTTATGCTATGTGCCACATAATCAAATTGAACTTTGAAACAGGCCAGTTTTCCAGACAGCTGGAGATTCCATTCAACCTGAGTCAGCATAATAAGGAAGTCCCCTGTTTTAACCCTATTAGGAAAGTAACTTCAAAATAACCAATCTACTTTTTGTTCTTTGATTATGCTTGCTTCTGCTTTTTCTGCCTATAAAGACAACCTGTGCTTGGCTCATTGGAGTATTCATTCTGTTTTATAGATAAGAGTGTTGCTAGATTCTAGAATTGCAAATAAAAGCCTATTAAATCCTTAAATTAAATTTGTTGTAATTTTGTCTTTTGACAGTTGAATACTCCTCCCCAGTCCTATTCCCCTGTCCTCCATACAGAAATAACCACTATCATGGATTTGAATTTGATGTCTTTTATTTTAATGGTTTTTAAAAGTACTTTTGGTACAAATCTATATTCCCTAATTGGTGTATTTTTGCAGATTTTGAAAACTTGCTGTACTGTATGTGTTTTTCTACAACTCATTTTTTCTTACAACGTTATGTTTGAGGACTTTCCATGTTAATGTGACCCCAATTTATTCATTTTAACAGTCAGAGTTTTCCATTGTTGAATATTCTGTGATATATCTAGTCCCTTGTTAATAAGCCTTTAATTTGTTTCCCATTTTTTTGCTCTTGCACAGTGCTGTGAGGAACATTATTATGCAGTTCTTGTGTATGCATGTAAGTTTCTCCAGAGGAATAGGGTGTAAGCTCAACATCTTTAAGTTTACTTGTTATAACCTAATTGCTCTATAAGATATCTGTACCAATCTTCTCTCTCCCAGGTGGTATATGAGAAGTCCTATTATTCTACAACTTCAACACTTGGTATTATCTGACTTTAAGATGTTTGCCAATTTAATGGGTGTAAAATTGTATCTCATTGCTGCTTTAATTGGTACTTTCCTTGTAACTTTAGGAGTTGAACATTTTTTCATAAGTTTATTTACTATATTCCACAGAAAGAGGGGGGAGATAAAAGTCACTTAACATGTTCAACAATGATATTTCATCTCTTATTCTCTCCTTTTCAGACCTGGATATTGCCACATAATATTTGTTTTTAAATGACTAGGTGATACAGCAGTCCCCAACTTTTTGGCAGCAGGGACTGATTTCATGGAAGATATTTTTTCCACAGACAGGGGAAGGAGGAGGATGGTTTCAGAATGAAACTGTTCAGATCATCAGACATTAGACTCTCATAAGAAGTATGCAACCTAGATGCCTCACATATGCAGTTCACAATAGTGTTTGCACTTCTATGGGAAGCTAATGGCACTGCTGATCTGACAGGAGGCAGAGCTCAGGCAGGAATGCTTAAGTCATCCACCACTTACTCAGTTACTAACAGGCTGCGGACTGGTACCAGTCTGTGGCCTGGGGGTTGGGGACCCTTGATGAAATGGATTCCATAGTATCTATTACTTACCTGAAACAATTTTTCCTTTTTGGTAGAACAGATGGATTCATGTTGCTGTTGTTCTTGTATTCTTAGGCATTCTAAGGTATCTGTGACCTTTCAGAGACATGGACTGTCTCTTGGAAAGAAGAGAGAATAACACTAAACACTCTTAGCATGTCTTGATTAAAGTCCCTTTGTTTAGAAATCATGCTTATGTTCTGGTGTACACCAGAAACACCATTCACATTTTCATTAATTCACCAATAAATTTAAATAGCTACTATTTAAGGGGCATAAATACCTTAAAAAAAATCCAGTTGGAAAGACTTGCTTTAATCAAACATTTCCACCCAATGAGATAACTGCCATGATGTCTGAGAAATCAGCATCTTATGAGGAGCCACAGCATACTAGTTTAAATGGCATGTTTCCTCTAGGTACACATGGATGTACATCCCTTCAAGTACATCGTAGCATAAAAAGAGGCACGTCACTGTGCAGGCCAAGCTGCTGCTGCAGCCACTGATGTACCTGTTAGAGGGGCCACCCAATGGGAGGAGGATGGACTGGGCATGAAGAGCCCTGGGCTCCTATCTTGTTTCAAGACAATGTAATTATGACACAAATAATGTTCACAGATTTTAAGTCAACAGTAAGTTGCCCCACCCATTGCAGCAAATGACATTATTTCATCCCCTCAACAATCTTGAGGCAAGAACCTTCCCTTATCACATGCCATGATGAAGTGTGAGCTCCTCTGAGACTTGCTTAACTCTTCATATCCCTCCAGTATCTTCTAAAGAATCAGGTTTCCCTCCTCCCTTAACTCTTCAGATGACCTTCTTAAATCTTCTTATGAGTTTTGTAGAGTAAAGGTTTGTGTTTTATCTTTTCTGTTAATAAACTAAGAGATTGCTGAGGGTAAGAATTTGGTGTTATTCACCTTTTTATACATGGGTCTAGAACAGTGTCTGGAGCCAAAAGAGAGCAGACACTGTGAAGTGAAATGAAGTGGAACCTTGCTTTGGTCTCCTGAATCTTTTAGGTGGGCTACACCCACTTTTGTGTGACCCACACTAGGAGTCTATGATTAATCAGCTTTCTTTCATTCCAATTTGTACAGGTGGTTTTTCAGTTTTGTTTTTTATCTGCCCCAAAAGTTTGAATGTTTATAGAAATTGGTAGAGTAAGCATAAATGTCAGTTCTAAAGAGTGACTATTTAAGGCTCCTAGCTTTATCCTGGTCTGAGTCATTGGCTAAAAATGTCAGGACAATTTATAACATTAAATGAATGGTAAGTTCCAAGTGATAATATCAAATGACATGATGAAAATTGAAAATTTATTAATATATCAGAACTTGTCACCAGAGCTAAGATCTGTCTAAACGATTTGGATTTGTCAGTCTGTCTCTCTTACTGCATTTGTCTTAGGTCAATTCTCTAAATACACACTTCCTGGGATGAATCTTGTGATGCTGGTTATCAGGACTAGTAGAGTTTGAGATCCCTACTCAGCAACATTTTACTGAGTCATTCACTGTGACGGGTGAGAATGGTACTGCCAAGTAATGATTATTTTTAGACAGGCAGCTAGATACTAGACATACATCAATGTTCAAGACACTCAAAAGGTAACAGTAAATAGGAAGACATTTAATTCTCCTTTTTTTTTGCTGATGTGATATTTTTGTTGATGGATTATATTTCTGGGAGAAAGGAGGTTTCTAGATAAGTAGTACATTCTTTCAAATTGAAAAATATGAAATGTGTTAAGAATTCCTAGGGACTTGACTGAATAATCAGTTCTAGGAGCTTTGTCTGTCTATAAGACCCAAATTTGCTTCCCTGCAAGAGTGTATTGGTCCTTGGAGCCTACAGGAAGGAAATGTTGACAGCAGCGCTTAAATCAGTGTGTCGTTCTTTACTGCAGGCATTTTCGCCTTGTAGAGACATCATGGTCATGCTGTTGTACACTTTTTTTCTTCTCCCTCATTGTAGATTACATTTTCCAGGTGAATAGAATTGAAGCCCTCAGATGATATAGCATCCCTGTGAGAAATTATGTAGCTAGTATAGAGACCTATTCCCAAACAATTACCAAATAAAGCAGCCTTCAGAGCCTGCCATTACACTACTGTTGCACTCAGTCAGGCACAGCCATCTGTATCATTTCCTAGGCAGGAAGCACATCATTTTTAGTGTCATGCTGTGGCCCCTTGTGGCAGATAGACTTTGGGTGTAGGGCCTGAAAAAGTCTTTTTTGCTACTTTGGCAATAGCTTATCTTTCATATGCCAAACCGTTTTTAATGAGGGAGTGTGAGTGGTTAACACATGCTCTCTTCCCTTTTCTTTTGGTATTTATGAAGTCAAGAATGCTGTAGCGGTTTGGTTTTCTGTGTGCTCATGGGGATACATATTTTGGTAAGTGCTGACACCTTTTTTTCCCCAGAGTAATCCATTGTCTCCTTTTTGCTTACCTTGCTACACTTTCATTTTTAATACTCTGGTCACTCTTTCAAATGCCTCAGGCACGGAAGTTGCCGGTTCAGTGGGAATGGGGAGAGGAAGAAATTTATAGAAATGTTTTCTAGGTTGTATTTATGAATTTATTGGTGGTATATCATATTTCCAATAGATGGAGAGTTTCAATATTTTTTAAAATGTCATTTTGATATTTTATTCTAAGCAGCAAGCCTAAATCAGGATTTTGTAAAAAAGGAACACTTGAAAAAAAATCTCTAAAATAGAACATTAAGAAGCCTAGCACAAATTCACTGATGTGATAGATATGTTTATTTCTGCATAAAACATAAAGTAAAACTCACAGAAGCTTAGCTCATTTGATAAAATCATATTTGTTTAACAGCAATTTATTTTCTTTCAGCGTCTGCCAACAATTTACCCAATGAGATATTTAATTAGAACAGGTAAATGTTGGCCGGGCGCGGTGGCTCAAGCCTGTAATCCCAGCACTTTGGGAGGCCGAGACGGGCGAATCACGAGTTCAGGAGATCGAGACCATCCTGGCTAACACGGTGAAACCCCGTCTCTACTAAAATACAAAAAAAATTAGCCGGGCGAGGTGGCCGGCGCCTGTACTCCCAGCTACTCGGGAGGCTGAGGCAGGAGAATGGCGTGAACCCGGGAGGCGGGGCTTGCAGTGAGCTGAGATCCGGCCACTGCACTCCAGCCTGGGCAACAGAGCCAGACTCCGTCTCAAAAAAAAAAAAAAAAAAAAAAAAAAAAATGTTAATTCACTCCCAAGAACTTGAGTCATCACTAAGTGAATGATTTTGTTCACCTCTTTGGTGATTCAGAGTCCTAGTTTGTGCCTCTAGTAATCCAGAATGCTGCTGAATACTTGTGAAATGTTCCCAGCATGGCAGATGCAGCTAGTACCCTTGCTATAAAGAAAATAGGCCATGCTGTGAAAAGATACAATCATACAAAAGGGAAACAATAGGAAAAAGTTACCATCTGAGCAACCTTATGTACCATGTCATTGTGTTACATGCATTACTGTGTAGACAATTCATTTGACCATTTTATAGATGATGGAACTGAGGTTCAAAAAAGGTAAATAATTGGCTGAAGAATGGGAAGAGAAAAAGCAAAACCCTGATCTTCTGATGCCAAAGCCCTCACTCATTCTTTGTTACACCGTTTCCAGAGCCAATTCTATTAATGGAGAGGTAGAGCTGCAGTTCAAGACGCATATTATTTTGCATTTACAATTAGTTTCCAGTGCAATGAAAGAAGTAGTTCCATACCCCTCGACATTTAAGTTAAGCATCTGTAAGGAGGGAGGAAGATATTTTTAGGAATATTTTCTAGGCTATATTATTTATAAATTTATTTGTTGAACTTGTTATTTTCCCAGTCGGTGGAGAGCTTCAGTATCTCAATTGTTATTTTGAATTTTCTAGGGAAAAAAAAATTTAAAACAACTCTTAATCCTCAACTAGAATTAAGACACATGAGTATTCCCCTATAAGACAGAATTTATGCAAAGCATGATCTTTTCAATCTTTGTATTTGAGGATAAAATGTGACTTCTGGCTGGGTGCGGTGGCTCACGCCTGTAATCCCAGCACTTTGGGAGGCTGAGGCAGGCGAATCACGAATGCAGGAGATCGAGACCATCTTGGCTAACACGTTGAAACCCTGTCTCTACTAAAAAATACAAAAAATTAGCCAGGCATGGTGGCGGGCACCTGTAGTCCCAGCTACTCGGGTGGCTGAGGCAGGAGAATGGTGGGAACCCGGGAGGCGGAGCTTGCAGTGAGCCGAGATTGCGCCACTGCACTCCAGCCTGGGCGACAGAGTGAGACTCTGTCTCAGAAAAAAAAAAAAAAAAAAAAGGGTGACTTCCAACAGTGTGAACTAAATCTGGCACTTACTTCTGGTATGACTTTTCTGTCTTTCCAGTCTGATTATGTACTGACTCTTATGAAAATGAATCAGCATTTCTCTCAGCTGACATTGATTATAAGGGGTTCTAAGTAAAATTGGGCCTTGGCTATTCAATAACATGTTAGATGCTGTTTTCTGTATGCTTTTATGATTGTGTTAATTTATCATCCGCACTATTATTGTTATGTAGGAACTTAAGCATAAAATGCACAAGAAAATTTTGGTTCAGAAATAGTAAGTGATGATGGATAGCAAATAAGTGGTAAACATTGAGTGACTTTATTTAAAAGAAAAAAGAATTTGAAGCATGTTTACTTCAAAATAAACCAGAGAATTATGCCTATTTTTTTCCTCCTAGGTGTCTGTGCTAATCTTAACATTTGCAGTTGCATCACATTCATTTTTAATTGGAGCATTAAATAAAGATAATTAGTTTTAACTGGAAATTAAAATGAGGCTTTAAAATTTATAACTTTCAGATGCCAGGTTTAAAAAAATCTCCCCATTAACTTTTTAAAATATATTCTCTTTGCCATTCTCCAACAGAAAATTTAGAATCTAGAGTTTTGCAGCCTGCAGATAAGAATGTTAGATTCTAAATCTGAATGCGAACATGGGAACAATGAAATTTTAAATGCATTTGGTCTCCAAATTTAATGTGTTGTCAACAGGAAATGTAAGAATGAATTATATTGAATATCTCTGTATTCAGAGATTTAAACTCATGTTTAGATCTACTCTATTCACTTTAGGCTCTACACAAACATTAGTCAACTTTCAAGAACTATGTTGTAATGTAATACAAGACAAGTAAAAACTGCAGTACATTTACTAAGAGAAACAAAAAGGTAAACCTCAATGAACTTGGTTCTTGGGAAATCATTTAATTTTGTCTTCAAGTCTTCACAGCCATGCCCATCAGCATCTAGTCATCCACTCTTCTGGGAATTTCGGGATGTGGAAGAACATGCTGAACCATGTCCAGAATCAGGAGTTAAAAAAAGAAAGATAAAATCATTGTATAAAGGAGGAGGGAATAAGATGGTGGAATAGGAATCTACACTGTTCATACCTTCTGCAGGAACATCAAATTTTAACAGCTGAATACACAGGAAAGCAGTGTCTCAAAA